CCACATTCTTCTGGAGGTAAAGCTCCAAAATTGGTCTCTTGAAATGTCTGCCTGTCACCCCCTTTACTCACCCTCCTGATTTAGTGCTGCTTTTTATAATCTGGAGAGATTGAATGCACGTTAAACGCTTTGACCTCTCAAAATCTCTGAATTCTACCTATTTGAAAATCCTTGTAAATACAGAGTTCGTATGGATTGGCAGAGCTCCACTGGCCTCCACGAAACCTGGTTGGCACCATTTGGGAATCTAACCTGGTGCTTCAAATAAATCCATGAAGGCTTGCTCCATAGAGGCAGTGATTGGAATCAGTAGTGTTAAAGAGCTGGTTTGGAGCCCACCCACGTCAGCAATTATATTTTCTTGTGCTACCATGGAGCAAGGCTTCCTTGCATATCTTTTTCAGAAGAAAGGCAAAGGCTTCCCGACATTTTTGGGCTTCCTGACATTTTTGTGCTCCCTAGACGCACACGAGCACAAAAGCACCCCCACTTCTGGAATTGCTGCTCCCTCCAGCTCACCCATTTGCTCCTGGAAGCCTTGTTCTGTGTGCTGGGTGTTACAGAAATGACTCCTTGCTGCAGGATGGTCCTCGCTGCCTGATGTTCAACAGAGGATGCTGCCAAGTGCTGGCTGCTGTCTTGCCCCCGAGGCCTTTGCTCTTTGCCCACCTATGCTCCGGCTCTTTCTGGCTCCTCCAGCTGCCCAGTGCTGGGATAACACTGGTGTGGCTGCAGGTCGCTCGCTAGGAAAGGGTGAAAACGGAAAATAGATCCTGGAGTCCTCCCTGTAGAGTATCTGGGAACGCAGCGTGCGCTTGGCTGAAAGGTTTCCCAGCGATATCTTCAATCCTTCAGTAAATCAAACCCCAAACACCACCCCTGTGACCCTGGTGCTGTCGAGGGGAAGCAATACCCCGCAGCTTCTGGATCTGGGGAGGTTAGGAATGGGCGTTTGCCTCTTCAGTGGCAGGTCTGTAAAGCAGAGTTGGAGCCTCCACCCCTCCTCCAGCAACGCCTCCTTGGAGGCATTGTGGTGCTGCTGCCGGGACGGATCCTGGGCTCTGCACCAGAGCAGCACAAGATTAGACCTGGGGAAGAATGGTGATTATGTCCCCTTCTTCACTTCTGTCCAAAAAGGGCTTTGCTAGCGTTACAACTGAGTCAGATCTCCCTGACCTGGGAGCTGCAGTTGTTTTTTCTGGAGGACGTTCAGCGTTCCTCGTGCTGTGAGCTCGGAGCTCTTAGCGCTGCGGGGACCTGCGGGGAGCACGGAGCAGTGAGATCCACGCGGGTGGAGGCGTTGCATTGCCGTTCTGACACATGCAATGTGAATGGTAGGAGATCATCAGATGGATCCTCAGACAGAGGATTGAGGCAAGAAGGTTCACAGCGTGGTTCCTCAATGGCTCCTAAGCCCACCTTTAGATCCTGTACGAGCGAAACCCGATTTGTGCTGGCACTGAATCTTGCGCCTTTGGGTTGCTTCTGGTGCAGGGAGCCTGAATGCCCAGAGATGGAGTCAGAGCCTCGCTGTGTGCTCCTATAACTCACAGCCAGGCACCAGATGATCGTTTGCTGCAAACTACTTTGCGCGTGGATGTTTTTGCTGGGATGAAGCCTTGCTAGCAAGATTGATTTCAAGTTACCCTCCTACTTCTCCTCGGTGCCAGTAGCCCTTAGGACAAATAAAACAAACCCCGAAATGAACTAACTTCCTTGCCCATGCAGAGCTTTCAATTTGGTTCAATTTATGATTATGGATTTTGACTGATTATTATTGTGCCTGACTGGGTACGGAGCCATCTGCCTTGGATTGGGTTTCCACGGGCTGCCTCCTCAGACAGACTTCAGATGGCCGTGCTGGCAGGAGAAGACCAGGTTCTCAGTTACATGCTAGCACCAAATGGATTTTTAAATGGAAGGAAATTTTATTGTTATCTATTTGGAAGCAACACTGCAGTGCCCTGTGTGGGAAGGAAGAAGGTGCCCAACATGTTTATCTTTATTATTATTATAACCTCCCATTTTCTGCTGAAAGTAGAGGTGGCCTCTGAGGAGTCCGAACTGCAGGGAATTCGGCTTTTTTTCCCTCTCTCCTAGAAATATGTTTGCTTTTAATGACATTTTCATCTATAAAAGTTAAAAATAACATGCCTCATTAAGTTCAAAGCACTCTGGGACCCAGTTTGCACGTTTTGGCTGAAAAGTTGAAATTTCCCCCGGAGAGGATCACATTTTCTGTTGGGTTCGGTGTTTTGTCTGCCTGCCTGCCACAATTCTGCATGGCCGTGGAAAAGGCAGGGGAGCTGTGGAGCACCTTTCCCAAACCTTGGGCGTTACAGGAGCTGGAGCTGGAGTTTCATTCCCAAGTGGAGAGGAGTTGTTTCTGTCTGCTCTGCTTGCCAGGAGGAGGGTGAGCGATGCCAGCGTGGCCGATAGGAGCACTCGTGCCAGTCACACCAGTCCATACCTGGGCTGTGTCCAAGCCTTTGGTTTCATCAGGAGATGCTTGTACCTGCAGTCTAACAGACGCCGCATTGCAAACGTCAGCAAGAAAGCCTTTTCTTCTTGTTTTGATTTGGGAAGGGAGGGAATGGCTAAAAATACAGCTTTATCAAACGCCTGTGGCACTTCCCTGCACAAAGCTGCCATTTGGTCCTCGGTACAGGCAAGAAGTGTCATTTCCTCTCTATATGATCTCATCCAGATTGCTCCTAGAACTATATCTGAATAGGAAAAGAGACACTGTGCAGCCCAGCGTGCTATGGCTTAGTGAAAGGCGTTGCTTAATAAATGGTGTCAGCTGTGCAGGTGCAGGGAAGCCAGGACAGTGGCAAGCGGCACCAGGGCGCCTGAGCTGCGGGCTGAGCGGGGGGCTGGGGGCTCGGAGAAGGGGTGATGGATGGAGCCTGCGAGGCTCCTGCCGAGAGCAGGAATGGATGAGCTGGTGGCCTGCAGAAAGGGCTCGGGCTGCGGGGCTCAGTGCGCTGGAGGCGAGGTTTTGTGTTGGCACTGGGTGAGCAGGTCGGCAGCAAGAACCACACCGCCCTGCTGCTGCCTCCTGCCTCGGGAAGGGCTGAAAGCTTACCAAAAGCAGTGACAGCCGAATGGGAAAGCTTGTGCTATGCTGGTAACGAGTTCTGCTGTGGCATTGTGTGCGTGGTGTTTCCAAGCAGGAGGTGAAAGCCGCTGTGCTTAATGCTGTGTGTGCAGGTAGCAGGAGACATCATCCATCCTGCGAAGTTCACAGTCTAAGTGCAGCTTACATCCTTCAGTGCTCAATAATAGCTTTAGATTCATTGCAGCCAGCGATACGCTTGGGACCCGAGCTGGTGGCACAACAACACTCTAGAAATTGATGTATTTTGTGCTGGGGCACTGCCGGAGCGAGCACGTCCTTAGTAGGACCACGGTGCCTGGCCACGTCGATGCAGCTCCTCCAGATAAAAGCTTCTGCTTTTATCCAGCTAGCAAGGGGCTTGGGCAGAGGGCGTGCAGTCTGCTGGCAATGCCTGCAGGACGTGGAGCCAGGACAAGCCCCTGCTGGGTGCCTTCATCTCATCCTGAGCGGCACTGCGGAGCCCCAGCTGGCTGCCACGCAGGTGCAGAGGCGTGCACGTGCCTGTGCTGTGCAGCAGGCTGCTGCCAGGAGCTGTTCCTTCGCTGTGATTTGCAGGGAATGTATTTGCAAGATCTGCAGCGAGACAGTGGGAGCTGCAACAGGCAGGACGTAGTGTGCATATGCATTAGTAGTGCCCATGCGCTTCGTTTTGAATGCTCTTGTGCGGTTCGCTCCCGTGGCCTTTGAAAATGGATCACAAAAAAAAGGGGATAGAAAGAATCTCACTGGAGGGCTGCTCCAAGCAGATGGTACCAGGGAACCACACCTGCGGTTCTGGGGCCTGGAGACATCCTCAAAATGTCACGCCCACATCCAGAGAAGGGCTGTGCTGAGCTGACCACATCAGTTTAAATCCCCACCAGTTTCCATCAGGAAGCTTTGTCGCACACACCTGGGCTCAGCCCACTGCAGACCAGGTGCTCCCACGTTACCGAGAAGCAGTCGTGTCCATTTCCCAGTCTCCTTGTGACTTTTTGAAGACCCTCAGACACAGCCCAGCACGTCACCCGTCTGCTGGACAGCAGGAAAAAGCTGTGCAGATGCTGCGCCAGGGGATGTTCAGGCTGGATATTAGGAAAAATGTCTTTACCTTTTGGGTGGCCAGACACTGGAACAGGCCTCCTAGCAAGATGTTGGTGTTCAGGAGATGTTTGGATGACGCCCTCAATAATGTGCTTAACTTTTATTAACTATTAACTTTCATTAATTAACTATTAACTTTCATTAATGCTATTAATTAACTTCTGGTTAGCCCTGACGTGGTCTGGCGGTGGGACTCGATGATCTCTGCCGGCCTCCTTCACCTGAGCTCTTCTGCTCTGTTCGCCGGTAAACTCAGCCCTTCCCAGTGCAACAACCGAGTGAGTTTTTAGGAAGCTGTCTGAAGTCAAATATTAATCACAATGAGGTTGTTTTGCTATTGATGTGATCTCTGAAATATCCTTCCAGGATTTTCTCTGCTTTCAGCGTTTCTTGCTACGTTTTTTCCTGCCGCATGGTGAACTCGAGTCTTTCTCAGCACTGCCCTGGAGCAGAGAGGTGTCTACATGCCGAGCTGATGTGGGCTGCACGCAGTGACTAGACAGAGAAATGCCAAATAAACAACCAGGGAGGTTTGTGAGGGACATCTGCCAGGCGGCAGGTGGCTGCTGGTGGCGTTGTGTGACACCTCCACTGGTGTAACTGGGCACTTGTTGGCCCGGTGAGCCCCGCAGCCCTTTCCCCTTTTTCTGGAAGGCTGTGCTTGGGTTTGCAGTGTTTTTGCAGCTGACCTAGCTGCAATACCATCAGGTTAAAGGAAAAGAAAAGTTGTGTTTGTTGGTTTATGGTTTCCAGGTCCTTCATCTTCTGGAGCAGGGAAGGGAGAGGGGATTGTGACCGGAGCAATCCATCACACTGCGGCTCGGGCACCGTCATCGCCGGGTGGCAGTGAGCTATGGACGGGGCTTTGATATTTTTCTACTCTCTTGTGCAGGAGCAGAGACAGATCTTCCTTGCTATAAACTGTCATCGTTCCGTGGGAGCTGATGGTCTGTCAGCCTCTCTGTGTTGTCTCTGGGTGCTGTGAGTAATGGTGCAGCAGCAGGAGGTGCACAGCAAGGTCCAGAGTCATCCTCACCGCTGGATACCTATGAGCAGGAGGCTGAGCTGAAGTCACTGAGGTTCCTCTTGTGAGTTCATGGTTGAGCTGTGGAGAAAAGCACGTTGAGCTGTACAAAGCCACAGCTGTTCCCCAAGAAGCGGGGTCCTTCCCTGCCTGCTCCGCGTGGCATCGGGTGACTGCCCCGGCCTGCTGCCAGGTGGCAGGAGCCGAGGAAGGAAACCCTCAGGCTGCTTCCTCCCAACCTGCTCAGACGTTCCCACTGCTGCACAACTCTTTAAATCAAATATTTGCTGCATGTTTGGCCTATGATTCACGTTACCTTCATGGGCAACTGAGCTCTGACAGGTGCTGGTCAGCCATGCAGAAGGGCTTCTCGTGGTCCTCTTAATTTTGGTAGGGTAGGTTGTTGTGTTGGGTGGGGATGTGAAGAGAGCTGAGGTTGGAGGCTGTATGAATGGATGTACCCATCGGCATCAGGGAGAGGAGCTGCTGGAGGCTCCAGAAACACCACGTGGATGTGGGGCAGCCAGCCTCCTGCTGCCAGGGAAGGGGTTGGTGAGTTACATCAGGCTTCATCGACAGCCACGCAGTGCTTCGGGAGGATTTTTACCCCATTCAGGGTGAATATTGCACAGTCGTTCAGTTCGCAAGTAGAGAAAATTAGAGGAGGAGAAATTAGAGGAGGAGAAAATTATGGTCGTGGTGCTGAGGGTTGAACAGGAGATCTGATTGTTCAGCTGGGTCTCGTTCCTCGCCTGTCTCTAAATGTGGGTGGTTCGAGCTTTCCCCTGTTTGGCCTGTCTCTGCTGCAGTGTGATGGCATCTGCTCGAGTGCCACCCTCCTCAGCCATCCCACAATTCAGGATTGCTGATGCCTGCTGCTAAAATACAAGCTGCCTCCTTCCCTCTAATCTTCTTCACCCCCTGAAGCTGCCCCTATCTCCAGCTTTCATCCAAACCCAGACAAAACCTTCTACAAGGTCTTAAGCAGCCTTGGGAATGTTCCTCCAGGTGATTTTCATTTCCACTTGCCTCTGCTCTTCTCCAATCTAACCAGGAGCTGAAGTTTCAAAATACCTTGAGGAAAAGCTATTTTTGTGGTTTTTCGACATGCTGCGGAGAAAGAAGTATGGAATGTTTCTTGAGGGCCTGGCTTTTGGGGGATTTTGTCTCATTTTCTAGATCTTGAGGCTTTAGATAAATTATCGAAATGTAGATGCTGAACTGAATCAGAGACAGTTGTGAAGTTTCCTGTCACTAATAATACACTTGGGCATCAAACTTGGGATTGCGATTTATTTATTTATTTTTGTTTTTGAAGCCTGTTTCTGGGTTACAGGTTTCTGGAACACCACGGGGTGGTCACGGCTCGAGGTGGCGGTGAGCACGGGGTGAGCAAGCAGCCTCAGCTCCGGTTGCAAGCAGCTGCCCCTCGAAGCCAGGGGACAGATGTCATTCAGAGGTGAGCTCAAGTCAGTCCCGGGCACGTTCAAAGCTCCTAACCACAGCTAAGCCAGCTGTAACATTCGTGCCAAAACTTTTTTCTTTGATTTAAAACAAATTTTAAAAAAATAATAATGAAATACAAATTTCTCTGGAATGTGTCTGCTGTTTTCTAAAGCCGTCCATGCTGTATCAGTAACTCGAAGCCGGGCCATCATGGCTGAACAAAACTATTTACATTTGAAAGCTTTTCAGCTGAAAATGTGTGTGTTTTGGAATTGAAAATCCCTTTTTATGGCTTTCATTTTTATGGGAACACTGGAAAATTTCTGCTTTGGGAAGGACTATTCTGACTGGTAAGCGTTTTATTCTCAGAAGCCAGGTAGTATTTTCTCAAACAGACATTTCTACATTTTTTTTCCTCTTTTTTTTGCTGCTCAGGCCTTTTCCCACACCTTGCCTAACTCCCCTTGCAAACCAACACTGAGCAACGAGGCTTTGTGCTGCAGGCCTTGGCACCTGGCTCCCTGTCCTGGGCCTGCTCAGCTCATCCTGGATGGCACTCGGGACTGATTGCTGCCACAAAAATGCGAGTATTACAGGGGAAGCTATTTGAAAGGTTATTTTTCAGGCCTGAGATACACACCAGCACTTCATCCACCTGAGCCTAGCCTCAGCTGAGTGATAAGGTGCTGTGGGCAGGGCAAGCCCCAGTGATTTTAATCTAAGCGGGCACGAAAAGATGAGAAGCCAAATGCCGGGTGGGTTTAATCATCTGACAAGTGCAATGAATAACCTTAAAGGTTTTCTACTCAGTCCCAGGGAGGAATTTCTGCATAGAAATAAGGTGATCAGCCGTGGGCACGTATTCGCTGGCTGCTGTGGCCGTGATGTGAGCAGGCAGTGAGGAAGCTCTGGCCGTGTGTGAAGCTGCGAGGGGTGACAGATGATGAGTTGTTAAAGAGCTGCACAACTCGTCAGGCAAGGGAAGGTGCTTCCAGCATGAAGTGTGACGTCCCTGTCCCTGGAGTGGGCTGGGGACACGACGGCTCTCCAGGAATTGTGCGATTTCACGTGGTGGTGTTGCCGCATCCACGCATCCACAGCCTGCCTTGCTCTCAGCAAGCCAGGGGGGTCTCCCTGCTGCCCTCTGCTCCTCTCCCTTGGCACCTGCTGCTTAGGAGGCTTTTTCTTTCAAAAAAAAAAAAAAAGGTTTCATTTTTATTTATTTATTTATTTTCAGAAATGTGAGCTGGCCACCTGTGCAGCAAAGGAAAGGCTCAAGGTGAGAAGGCAGAACCAGACTGCGCCCTGGTGCGGGGCGTTGGGGTCCTGGATCCGTTGCATTTCCCACACAGCCGAACTTCCAACGCAGAGCAGGGGGCGAGCTCAATTCCCAGGTGACTTCAGCAGTGTCACACAGCCTCATCTCCCAGCCCGAGCTGGACAGTGAGAGGCTTCCAGTTGTGCTGGAGGGGGGACTGGGATGGGACACATCCTTGCAGCAGGAGGGCTTGGTTTCAGGAGGCTGGTGCAGGGAGGAGGGCTTGGGCGTGGGGTTTGGTGGGTGACGGTTCCTGCCTCTGTTCTCTTTTCACTGGGTTTAAGCTGTGTGCACCGGGTCTGATGCAAGTGCGAAGGTGCGGCTTCAAATTTCTACCGAAGGTGTTGTTTTGATGCCGTTGACACAGCGGATCCTGCTCGCCTTGGATGCCAAGGCAATTTGGAAGTGGCTCCAGAGAAGGCGAGGTGAGCTTGTACGAGCTGGCTGCCAGCAAGGGGAGAACAGGCTCCAAGGCTGGGTTAAACTTCTAGGGTCACAAATGATGCCAAATGCAGCAAGAAAATAGTATGTGATTAGCTGATGAGGTGGCATGGCTATTGCCTTGCGTTTGAATGCTCGATGTTTTAAGCTTAATGATGGTATTCCAATATACACTTTCTGTGAAGGAAATATATTATTTGTGTATGCACCTCACAGCTTAAAATTTAGTGTGAGAAAGGTATTTCTTCTCTCCACCTCTGGATGGGTAGCTGTTTAATAATAATAGTTAGCATTAAAAGTTCATAACATTTTATCTTTAATAGCAAGACATTTACCTTTTACCTGGAACACACTGCTAAAATTGCACATTTCATACCCGAGTGCCATGCTGATGATGTTAGAAAATGCTGGCCTGGCTTGAACCAAATTATACACTTCTCCTCAAGCCTTTAGCTAGTTTCCTCTCCATCAGGGGTGGCAAAAAGTAACATAAGCACAGGAGAAAGAGAAGAAAGAACAGATGCAGACTTCAGAGGCAACATACAGTACGTAAGTTTGCGTGAAATACTGGTATTCAAGCTACAGCAGTTTAATGGATGTTAATTCGGTTTCTGTATTAACCCAGTAACTCGTTAGTGTTAATCAAATCCATCTCATGTTGAGCTTCTACAGGTGTGGATGTGAGGAGGTGTCGGTGTGGGGATGAGGAGCTCTGGGTGAGGGCGGTTGTCCTGGCACATTGCTGCTCGGCAAGCACCCGCACCTCGGCCGGTGCTCAGCGTTTGGCAGACAATGCGAGGAAAGCTTGACCAGCGTGGTTTGTTGGAGCAGGAACTGCAGAAAATCTGGGCCACAAAAAGTTTAAGCCTCACGCTGATTCTTGATGGTGTGCGGGGATTTCCTGGTGGGACATTTCAGGAGTGTTGTGTGAGCTGCCTCTGTGAAAGACCTTCACACAGCAGCATTGATGAGCTCCTCTAAATCCTGAGGAGGATGAAAAAATCTGAACTCTGATGGTGCCCCAGAGGCTGGGCTTGCATCCCCTGGCCTGGGGACCATGTCCCTATCCAGAGCCGGGGAAAGGAAGACTTCCAGCGCGAGGCAGGCTCTGCCACCATGCAGTGGGATAGAAGGGTGGAAATGGCTTTATTTAAAAGATAAAGCACCTTGTCTAAATCCTAAAAAAATGGTTAAGTATGCTGCCAAATCTGTTCTGGCCATATTGAGCCTGGAAACCTGGCTGCAGCCATCCTGAACTGAGTTCCTCGAATGCCTCCCCTCGATGGCTGGGCTCGAGCATCCCCGTAAGGAGCCCGCGGGGCCGTGGATGCGCTGGGCTCTCCCTCCTCTTCACCCCCTCCCTGAGAACCAGCCGTCACTGCCTCTACGTGACAGGAGGAAAGTATGTTTTAAGGAGTAATATTAATAATAATAGCAACATTAAAGTGTGCGGAAGGATTACAAAAGTAATTCTGAGATCTCGCTTGCTAATGCAGGCTATTAACAAAAGATAATCACCTTTAAGTCAGTCACCTTTAGCCCTGGAGTAAAATGGAGGCGCAATTATTCAATTCAGTACAAAAGGCATTTAAATAGAGATGGATGAACCTCTGGCTCTCACGTCTTGCTTGGGAAGCCAGCCAGGGCCAGGTTCTGAGGGAGGAAAACGTGATGTGAAAAGGGCAGCAATAAGGGAAAAACTCCCGGTGTTCTCTCCCTTTTTCCACCACACCCCAGGTCATTCACCCTTTGGAGTGTGAAAAAGGGAAAGGGAGAAAAAAAACAGGACAAACACGTTGGAAAGCAGCTCTTCGTGTAGCTTTTATGAGTAGCATTCGGAGGCTCTTATGCTCCGGGCTGCCCTAAGAAGGGCAGCCCCGAGTCAGAGCGCGTTTTTGCCGTCGCTCCGTGCCCTCGTGTTGGTGCCTGGGGAGCAGCCTGGGCATGGCCCCGGGGTTTATTTATGTGCCTGGGAAACCTTTCTCTGCTGAAAACCGAAGTCTTTTTTTGCTGCAAGTGCTTTTTAATCCCCTCCCTTGTGCTCGGAGCCCGTGCTCTCCCCTGAAAGCAGCCTGTGGTTGCTGGAGCACAGGGCTTATTTTTGTAGGGTTGCTTCTGAGTGCTGCCTTGCTGGTTTTGTTGTTTAGAAGGGTCATTGGCGTATTCGATTGGGAAGGAGGAGAGGACGGGGGCTCTGGAAGCTTGTGTGAGATTGCAGAAGTGCCTTTGAAAGCCTTTTGAGCTGCACAGATGAGCAGTCGGGGCTTTTGGAAATGCCACACTGACTGACCAGCTCAGCTGCATTCAGCATCCTCCTAAAACACCCAGTGCTTTTCTCCCCCCTGAAGCACTGGAGCCGAAGCATCCAAACACCATTGCCCTTGCCTCATCCCTGTGAGCGTCGTCGTTGCTGGCAGCAGGGAGCCAGGACACAGCAGCTCCACAAGCCTCGTGGAGCATGGTTTGGGACGTCCGTGAGAGATCAGCAGGTATGAGGAATTACAAACAGGAACAAGTTTTTGGAAACAAAACTGAGAGTTGTCGAGAGAGGCGTCGTTAGTGGCTGCTAATCCACCGGGTGGGGAGAGGAGAAGCCCCAGTCCAGCCCAGTGCAGAGTGGAATAAATTCCCTGTCTCTGTTTTACGTCCTGTCTGTGCAAGCGAGGGGCCTCGTGCGCGCCTTCCTGCTCCGCTCCCGTGTGGCTCCGTCTGGATGGCTGCCTGCTTTGGCTCTATAAACAACATGGTAGGAGCTCGGGGTGTGATTATCCTCAGAGATATAACCGCAGCGTTCACTCCACTTGCTCGTTTTCCACTGCACAGCTCATGCGCAGGCTTCCACGCTGGTGGCTTGCCTGGATCTAACCCGCATGGTTGGGCAGCCCCAAATCTTGGTTTGTAGGGTGCCGCTTCAGGGGTCAGCCCGCTGTGTCCCAGGGCTCATGTGGGAGCAGCATCCTTAAAGGAAGACCTTTAAGGCTGTGGGAGGGCCCATGAACACCCACCAAGGGACTCGTCGTGTCACAAGGGGGGCTGTCACAAACAAGACCTCACCCTGCAGCGGGGAGTGAGGAGCAGGGGGAGGCAGCGAGCTGCGAGCATCTCCCTCACCTCCGAGGGCAGTGCTGCCTCTGGGTTTCCTCCGGGTGTTTGGAGGCCTCTGGGTGAGACCGGAGGCTAGCGAGGGGTAAGGCTGCAGGCAGAGGGAGGCTGGGCTCTGTCTGCCTGCTGCATGGCTCCGTAAATCAGGGCGGGCTGTGCTGCCGCCGGGATTCCTGCGTCGTCTGGAAATTCTCCGTGCGTCCATCAGCACCTGCACCGTCGGGGAGGCTGAACCTCGGGCTCTGAGCGGAGAGGTAAACATTTCGGACCCCAACCCAGGATGACAATAACCAGAGCAGAAACCTTTCCGTCCCGTTGCAGGTCAAACCTGGTTTAGGCATTTCAACCCAGAATTTCTCTCCGGGGTTAATTGGAGAGAGCTGCCTGCTCGTGGCCCTTCGCTTAGCCCCATAAAACCCTGCTCACGCACTCCGTCTCTGTCCACCCCCTCCTTCAGATTCACATTCGAGACCCTGGTGGAGAACATCTTGAAAAGGTAGACAAATTAGCCTTGTAAAAGCCAGACTAAATTGACAGTGTGTTTATTGCAGTGCTGCGGTGTTAACCCCTGCTGAGCTGTGCCAGGACAAGCTTCGTGCTCCAGCGATGCGTTGTGGTGGTGGTGGAGCAGATGGCACTGGTTTGTGCTGGGCACCATGTTGGGGAGCCCTGCAGATCCCTGGGGGTGGAGGAGCTGAACCAGTGCCTGGATGGCTGGTGTCAGCCTTCCTGCTGGGGGAACACCAAGGGCTGGAGGTCTGGGCAGAGCCTCGAGGCTGCCTAGGGGCTGTTTGGGTACCGCGTCCCCATTGAGACCAGTACGGGTTTGGGGAAGGAAGAAAGGTGAAACAGTTGAAAATCAACTCCTTGTGCTTTGTTCATCTGAAGCCCTGAGTAATTTGTGACTTCTGTTTCAGTTTCTGTCTGCTAAAGCAGCCCTTTTCCCATAGAAACTACTCACAGGTTCTTCATCAGCTCAGACAGGCACAACTTCCCTTGTCAGATCCCCCTTTGGCTCAAACCTGATGCTGGGAACGGAGGAAGGAGGCTTCTCCCCTGCTTCTCAGCAGCACAGGGAGAGGAGAGCGACCCTGGGGAGCTGAGCCTGGCCCTGCTCCACACCCACCCGCCCATGCAAGCACTGGGTGGGCATTCCCTGCCTCTCTGGGGCAGGTTTGTCCTTCAAGTTTCATTTGGTTTGTGGTGGATGAGCCAAAGGAGCTGCAGACTGAACGGGAGCCTAGGAGGAGTTGAGCTCTTCTGCATTCAGCTGAGCCGAATGAGATAAGCACATCCTGCGTCGTTCACGTTTTAGTGGAGGAAAAAGTGTTTTCCCCTTCCAAACGCCCTGGAGGAGTTGGGGCAGTGTCTGCCCTGTGCAAGGTGCAGATGGGTTGGTGTTAGCAAGTCCCGGCCACTGCCTGCCCCTCCTGGTCTGGGAGCCTGGACTGTTTGTAAAACTGCTCAGGGCTGGCTCACAGCATTCACTCTTTCCCACGACAGATTGAGCATCACCAACTGCTGGTGACCAAAACACCATGAATCAAGGCCTCAGCTCAAGAGGCAGCTTAGAGAAAAAAGTTAAAAAAAATATTAACGCTGAACTTTTTGTTCTGCTTTTGCTAGCCGTACAATGCTTGTTTTCAAGCCTTCCTCTGCAACCACAACATTTAAAAGAGCATTTAAAAAAAATCAGAGCTGAGATACTCTTAAAATCACATGTTTCCAGACACCGGGGACTCGAGAGTAGAGCTGCAGATATAATCCTGAGATTTGGCAGTGCTCTTTGTATCATATTAAGTGATGGTCTACAGCACTCGTTAATTACTGCGGGCTGAAAAACAATTCTGCCTCCCGACAGAGGTCTTCTGCTCATTCTCAGCATAGAAGTTTTTCCAGTTCTCGTGGGTCAGAGGGAAATATCACTTTCTAAAAGGCGTAGGTACAAAATTATGCAGTGAGGTAACCTTCTGAGTTGGGATTTAACAGTGTTCTTAGACTTCAACAGAATAAAGCAGCATCGATTTTATTCAAAGAGAGAAATTTGAGCATATTGGACTGAAATGATCCCCCTTCAAAGCTATTTCTGAATAATCGTGCAGGTAATTTTGTATTTCTAAGCTCCCGTGTCTAATCCAAAGCCTCTTGAAGGCCAGCAGAGGAGGGTGGGCTGCCGCTTGGAGCAGGCGGCAGGGGCAGCGATCTGGGCTTTACGGACAGACACATCCAGGATGGATCAGCCCTTCCCCTGCCAAACCCGGGCTTTGTGCAGGTGCCCGGGAGGTGTGGCGTTCCCTGGCAGCTCTCCACATGCAGCAAGGTAAAGCTGGGCTCTGCTCCTTCCCCAGCCAGCTCCCAGCCTCCAAACCCTGTGTGTTTTATGAGCATCCTCCACCTGCTCCTGGCCTGGCTCCGCATTTCCAGGGATCTGCACTTGCCAACCTTCGTAGCCGAGCATCGGTCCCTGCCCGTAGTTTGTTGCCTTCTGCTTTTAGGCAGCACCTGAGGGAGCAGCAAGCTCAAAGCAAAGGCAAGAAGCATTTTGGTCCCTGGGCTGATGCACTGGGGAAGCGTCGGAGGTCACCTCTGCTCCCCTGGACCATCCCTGGAGCTTTTATCGCTGGAGAAGCAGCAGCGGCAGCTCAGTGCAGTGCTGGGGGTGCACATGGGGTGAGCCCCTTTGAAAAAGCTGCAGAAAAAAGGCTGCTTTTCTCAAACGGGGCTGGGGCGAGAGCTGGGGACTTGTCCCCGTTCATCGTTCCTGCCCTTGTGCCCCGGCAGCGGGCGGGTTCGGGGCTTTGTCTCTGAGCGCTGAGCTCCAGCAAGCTGCCGCACAAACACCAACATCAAAGCGCTGGCTGAGCGCTTTCTGAAGCAGCTTTCTAGGTTTTACTGGGCTATAAAATACGGCGACGAGGATATAAAAACAAAGCTGTGATGGACTTAGCAGAGAGCCAAAGCAAGCGGGGAGAGAAATGATGAAAATGAGAAAAAGGGTTATGAGCAAGGAATGATGTATCAGCTCCGTGTCAGGAGGAACAGATTTTGGAATAGCTGTGAAGAGCATAAAACTGGTTTAGTCGTTAAGGGAAAAAAAAAAAAAAAGAAAAAAAAAAGGAAAGGAGAAAAAAGCCTGATAAAAATGAATAAAGGAGGGAACTTCAAAGCATAAATTTCCTGACTGCATGACACTGATGTTTTGAACAGTTGTTCTGTGTGAGATAGCAGCAGTGATTTTAATGAACTTTAAAGAGCAGTATAAATAGGAACAAACAATGAAAGGCGATCGCATTAGCACACAGCTAGGCACTGAGCTAATTGCCTGAACAGGATTTAAGTGGCAGGTTATTATTTTTTTATTTATGTGTATAAACCTATTTTTCTATTTGAGCTTAAGAAAATAGAATGAAATAAACTCGAGCATCTCAATTTGGATTTTCAAGGGAACCAAATGCAGGCTTTATTTCCGTGAAGTACTTGAGCTGCTGAGCCAAAGGGCAGCGAAATGGGTGCAGCAGAGAAAGGGGAAGTCTTTTGTCAGCCTATAAGGGGGTGGGTGGGAAGAAGAATTTATTTTAGTTTGATGCACAAGCTCTCTCTGATGTTTCAAATGGATTTCACAGTGCAGCTGCACAGGGACTCGGAGGATCAGAACCATCAGAAATGGGGAAGAACAGGGCACCTTGTAGCTGCACTGGGTCACCTTATCCTCACCGTGGGCTACAGCGGTTTTTCTTATGCTTTGGATTTTCAGATTAGAGCGTTTGTTTGTACTCGGTCCTGCTTCTTGCTTTTCTGCGTGCTGCAGCACAGGGCTGGATGCAGCCGGCGGTGGTTGTGCAGCAGGGCCTTCACGGGGCCACGCTTGCTCTGCTGGGGACCCACTATATTTAGAGGGTACAGGAAGACGTTTGTGGGGTCAAATAGTGAGCCCCAGAATACCAATTTCTGTTTCCTGGCCTGACTGGCATCTTTTTTGGTCTGTTCAAAATCTACTGTGATTAATGGGACAATCTGCAAACAGCAAAATCCCGTAGAAAGCTTGCAGGAACTCTGTTGTGATAACATGGCTGTAGGAGACACGAGAGCCAGATAATACCATCAATGCCTCTTTTCCTTGCTTGATACACTGACCTGTAAGAAATTCAGCTGTGCCATGGGCTGGATTCACTTTCAGACCACACATTTCTGGTTGAACCTCTCTCACCTCTTCTGTGCTTGGCGGACAAAGCCACTGCTGTGGTGTGTGCAGCCGGGCAAAGGGAGCCAGCCCTGCTTGTCTGCTATGTGGAAAGCCTCCCGACCTGTATAATAAGTGGGTTGTCTTGTTAGAGAAATTTGTGGTCCTTCAAGAACTGCTAAGGAAGTTAATTAAAAATTCTAATCTCTAATTGGGTACATGACTGGAAAGCCAATGTCCCGTGTACCAGAGGGGTAGAGTAATACAAATTCAGATTGCAATCACTGCTTTCTAATTCCCATCCTCACTTCCCCCGCGAAGACTTCAACGTTTTGACCCACCTCAGGCATTAATGAGCTCATCAGCTCTCCCCGAGGCCCATCATCACCCCGCTGCGTATGAACCGGATTGTGTCAGAGCGGGGAAGGAGCTCGTGCGCCACGGCCACCGCTCGCAGCGCCGCGCGTCGCCCCGCAGTGCAGCCAGCCTGCCCTTCACGTGCCACCTCTCCCTGGGAGAGGTACTTGCCATGCAGGGTGTTGCTGGGCTGACCTGACCCGCTGTGATCCTTAGATTATTTGCCAAAGCACCGCAGCTGAAGGAGGAATTGTCTCACTGATACGGGGAGAGCCCAGCCTGGCCCTGTCAGCTCTCCCCACCGCCCCCATCGGCGCTCTGCTCATCAGGTTAAAGAGCAACGTGGGTTCAGATCCCCCCACCAAACCCAGCCTTAGATGGAAAGGTGATTAATCCTCACTCGACTCTCTCCTTGTTTTAAATTAAAATTCTGGGGCAGTCTGCATGCTTCTTCTCTGTTCTGCCTCGCCACAATGGGACTGGCCCAGGACGGGCATTTCTGAGCTGCTCAGGTGGCCACGGGTTAGCGCAATTACTTTAAGGGGTCTGGGTTAAGAAAAGAGGGAACGGGGGAAGAAAAAAGCAGGAGCAGGGTAGAGGGAGAAAGGAGAAATGCTTCAGTTCGTTCCCTTGCAGCCAGAAGCAGCTTGCCTTTTGCACTCCTTTAGCTCCTTTGCCTGTCTTATTTCCAGAGCCCATTGACTCCGAGACAACAAGGGGCCCTCCAAAGCGCAAACAGGGTTGGAGAAACGAGCCGGCTTAACGCAGAAGGAAGGGAGGCCCCCCGGTTTTGCCAACTTGTAGAAGGCAGCCTCAACTGAGTGCTTGCTGGAGGTTGCTGAGGGTTCAGGGAATGCGAAGGCTCCGGCGGCACAGTTTGCAGAGTTTTAATGTGCTGGGCTGTGCATTTTGGCTGGCTGCACGGCGCTTTCCTGAGCCAGGTGCTTCGACTTCTTTAGTGCCAGACTCCTGATCCAGTCAATGGGGCTGACTTTTGGGAAGTGTCTGGCCTTGCCTGGCTTCAAGCTGTTGATTCCCCTCTGAATGTTTTGGGAGGGTCACAGAGGATGGGGACATTGCGGATCCCTTTGGGGACCTGAGCCTGGGCATGCTTTTGCCTGCAGAGCCTGGCAGCTCCCTGCTGTGGGTCCTTGTTCCAGCCCATGCTGCAGCTCGGTGCTTGTGCCCTGGGTTTTCTCATTCGTGCCAGCAGCAAGGATCAGTCTGATACAGGTTTGTTCACCAGGACTGAACGCCTTTCCTCCATGCGCCTGCCTGGTGGTGCTTAGCCTTTGCTCTTACCTGATCTTGGTGCCAGTGTAGCTCCTAGCTCCCTATTCAAAGCTCCCTAGCTCTTGCCTCCCCTGTATTAGCAGGGCATAAAGGTCTTTTTACGCTGAGCTGAGGGGCAGCGAGTTGCAGCCAAGTGGTTTGTACCAGGAGCTCCCGTCCATCCTGTGCTGGCCGTGCCGTCCTGCTCTGCGCCCAGCTGGGGAAGGGCCAGCTCCGTGCACTGAGGTTTCTGCAAGCAGAGGCATTTCTGAGCCTCTGCAAACTCTGACTTTACAAAAGCTTGTAAATTTGCCCACATTTTCTCAAGGACAACCGCAGGGATACCCCCAATAAAATGCCTGCTCCGAAGTGTGAAAGGCGGTGAGGAATTTTTAAGGGAAATGTTGCTCAAACAGTTTAACTTAGCTGGAGAACGTTATTTTTGTTTCTGTCCTCATCTCAGAAAGGGGCAGGTCATTTGAGATATAAATTAAAGAAAAAATGTTGCTGGAGTCAGGTTATTCACCTGTAAAATCCCATCTCAAATCGTTAAAGTTTGGCAAAGTTGTGTAACCAAGTGAGAGCAAAAAGCATTCAGCAGCTTTAAAACTTGGTAGTGTATTGCAAATATTCACAGGCAATTACATCAAAATAACAAGTTTCAAATATATTAAGAAAATTTATGATTAGAACAGGCCAGAACTTAAGTCCTTGCCTTGTAAACGTACATGATTGCCTTTCTTTTCATGGTCACCCACTATTTTTTTCAGATACCCCATCAGAATATTGTCAGCTATTCCATGGTTGGACGTGGCCAGCCTGGGTGAAGGATGTGCTATCGGATGTTTGTGCTGCTCCTAGAAACAGTCAATCGTTCACTGACTGTAGTATCTTGGGACTCTTTATCAGAAACGTAATAAGCCAGGTATATGGCAAAATTCAAAACATATTTGGTTTGGACCTCTGAGATCTGGAGCTCTGCTATTCACTGCCGAGGCAAAGCTGTCCCAAAATTGACCTGAAGAAACTCTGCGCATTCTGGTGAAGTCCTGGAGGTTCAGAAGATCAGAGGTGACAAGTTTTCATTTGCTAAATGGCCTGGGCTTTCCTCCCTTCCTCCCCTTCCTCTCCTCTCCCCAACCAAAAAAAAAAAAAGCAAACTGTGAAATGAATGCTGAACCTGATGAATTCTGAACTACTTCATTGTTTCTTGCTCTTTTTTTTATTCCTTTCCACTCATTATGATTCTTTTCGTCCCATGAAAACTGGGTCTGTTCCATTGGTCAAAACAAAGCAGTTCTGCATTATTTTGACAGCAAAAACATAATAATGAAGTGAACTGAAATCAGATTTTCTTCAGTGGATTACCAAGAGGCAAATTTAAAATGATATTACAAATAATACCTCGTAATTACAATGGGAATGATGAGCACCCTTAATCATGCCTCGCAGATATGTTTGTTAATAAGAAAGCAATGTAGAGCAGTGTTGTGACATTTTTCTTATAATTTTTAATGTAGTCTTCGGTTTTCAGGCCAGATTTTAAGACGGAGCAAGTAGCCTTCATTGCCTCCAATACAAATAGGCTGCTTTACCCTGGCCAAGTCTCTGACTTTGTTTTGCTTTAAAATAAGCTCTTTATGCCCCAGAAGTCTTGCAGTGGGGAAGGAGAAGCGGATCTGCAGAATTCTGGTTCGTTTCAATTAAAACTCCGTGCATTAATCATATGTTTGACACACTAAATGTTTCCAATTAACATCCAGCTTAAAACCACATGTGCTCCTGCCCGTGTTCAAACGATCGAGCTGCACAGGTAACCTCAGGAAAACCATTAACAGATGGCAGGGCATGGCCGCACCAGAAAGCAGGCGAGGTTTTTGTCTGTGTCAGGCAAAGCAGAAGCCCGAGTAGCAGCTGTGACTGAAGGCTGCTGGCAGGGCCCTGTCCTGGCGCTTTGGGGACAGCCGATTGCATCCCGATGGCCATGAGGGCCACCGTGGACCTCTCCCCTTGCCTGGATGCTTGGCTGGAGGAGGGGTGCTCGTGGCCAACACGGCTCGAACTGCTGCATTGGCCAGCCCTGAGTTTTCTGGGAGGATGGGAGGTGTTACAGTAGCCTGCAGTGGGATGAGTGACATCAGCCAGGGTGGATTTGTGAATATTTTATTGGAAACTGCCAAAACTTTCCCTCTCTCTGCTTTCTAAAATAGAGTTTGCTTGCAGTCAGGCTCGTAGCTTTGCTGGGCATCACCTCCTCCAGTAGCAAAGTCTGCCTTGCATCCTTTTAATGCTTTTAGTGCTGTTCCTGGAACTGCAGCGTCTGGGGAGAAGCATTTGAAAATTGCACATCATTAGCATGCTGAAGAGGAGGTAATGTATGTAAAGCATTTGACCTCCCTCTGGCTCCTGTGGCTGGGACAAATTCTGATCTCATTTGCAGCAACGCAAATCCAGAGTATCTACATTAAGCACATTAAGTTTAGTGGAGTTACTCTGAATTTATACTACCGCACCTGGTAAATGGAAGATGTCACTAACAGCCTTTTTGTGACCCAAGGGAAGGAAGTAATGAAGGCAACCTGCAAACGCAAGGATGAAAACAGTTCCCGACAACAGGACTTTTGCAGGGGTGTGAAATTTATTGGGAGCTGCTGCGTGCTCAGCATTTTTTAAAACCAGCTCACGTTTTTTGGTGCTTAAGCATGGAATTAGGAGCCTTACTCTAGGCATCGAGTTTTTAAAACATGTCAAAGGCTACCTGGGGCCTACCTGGAGGAGAAGTGGATTATGGATTGACAGAGCGGTCTGAAAAAAATTACAGTACGGGGAAAGGTGAATTCTTCATTTCTCATTTCCCCTCCTTTTTCCAAGAAGGAAGAGAAGAGCATGGAGAAGAGTTTAAAAAGAAAACCAGAAAAAGAGGAGGGAATGAAAACTAAAGCCAGTTTCACGCAAAATTAGTTGGAGGAATTAAATATCCCACAAAATAACGATTGCCACATTTTTTATTCTCTCCCTGGATGAGTAAAACACCCGTGAAACATCCACCATGCATTTCCGCTTGGCTAATCCCCCCCATACACACTCCAAATCCAATATCACCGACTATTCTCGGTGTTAAAGAGTCGTTTTACTTTTTCCAAATACATGGAAAATTCAAAACAGCTGGGAACGAAGGGTTTCTTTGTGTGCGAGTCCAAGTCCCGGCGAACTGGGGAGCCTGGCGGTGGACGCAGTGCAGGGAGCCGATGAACGCGGCGGGGGAGCCGGGCACGGGGCTGGATGCACCTTGGAGCCACTTGTTGCTTCCTCGCTTTTCCATGGGAGAGGACGAACTGTGCTGTGCCAGCTTTCTCAGAAGAAACATGCTGGGTCTGTTGCCTGCACGTGGTGGATGTTCATATGTAGATGATCGGCTGTGAAAATATTTCACTTATCATTAGGAGCGCTGCAGAGAAGGAGCTGGGGGTCCTGGTGGATGACAGGTAGGCCGTGAGCCAGCAGGGTGCCCTGGTGGCCAAGGCCAACGGGATCCTGGGGTGCATTAAAAGGAGTGTGGCCAGCAGGTCAAGGGAGATGATCCTCCCCCTCTACTTCCTGCCTGATCAGGCCTCACCTGGAGTACCGTGTCCAGTTGTGGGCTCCCCAGCACAAAAAAGACAGGGAGCTGCTGGAAAGAGTCCAGCAAAAGGCCACAAATATGACCCGGGGCCTGGAGCAGCTTCCCTGTGAGGAGAGGCTGAGAGACCTGGGGCTGTTCAGCCTGGAGAAGACTGAGGGGGGATCTTACCGATGTTTACAAATATTGTAAGTGTGGGAGACAGAGAGGTTTGGGCAACCTCTTTTCAGTGGTTTGTGGGGACAGGTCAAGGGGCAGTGGCCACAAAATGGAGCCCAGGAAGCTCCGCACCAACATGTGAAAGAACTCGGTGAGGGTGACGGAGCACTGGGACAGGCTGCCCAGGGAGGTTGTGGCGTGTCCTTCTCTGGAGATATTCAAGGCCTGTCTGGATGCCTACCTGGGCAACCTGCTCTAGGGAACCTGCTTTGGCAGGGGGGTTGAACCTGATGATCTCTGGAGGTCCTTTCTGACCCCTACAGTTCTGTGATCATCCATGCAGAGAGGCGAGAAGAGACCTGTGGCTCCTGGGCAGGGTTTGTCCATCCCGCTGGATCCCAGCCGCCTCGTGGGGAGGACGAGGGAAGAGCTGCTGAGCTCTTGGGTGGTGGGGCAGAGGCAGCTCCTGTCTCTTCATGGGGTCCCTCTGGCTCGGGCCCAGACGGCCGGACACATGCAGATCCCTAACCACGTCCCTGGGCAGCCCTGCCTCTGCCAGGCACACATGGAGTGGCAAAAGAAACTGCCTTTTAATTTGTGATGGGAGGATGTGGTTCCTCATCTCCTAAGGTGGATGCCCGAAGTAAGCAGATATCAGTCCCTAAAGTGCCCATTTTTCAGTTTCATGGCTCTGTTTTCTTCCAGGCGGTGCCAGTGGCTCAGCTGCTGTGTGTTGCTTTTCTCCTCCACTTGTCATCCTGGGGGGTTTGGTGTCAGGGCAGGCCGACACCTACACTCTCTCTGCATGCTGTCTCATTCCACAGGTGCGTAACGCCCCACGTTTGTTGTTACTAGACTTAATTTGAACAAAAACCCCACAGATTGGATCTTCCTCACAGGACCCAGTCATCACGTAGTTTTATCTCACATAGCAGTAAGCTTTCTTGGGACTCTTAGAAAATCCATACCTTGCCTCACCACTTGGAAAGTTGGGAACATGCACTGGGATTTTCATGTGTTTTTCATTCTTTTTCTCATGCATTTTTCATTCTTGCTCTCTCTGCAGGAGGAAGTCTGTAGCTGGTGAAAATCAGAGGTTACATTTATGAGGAGGCTCTGCAGCTCTGCCTGCGTTTCCTTGCAGTGGCCGCAGGTAAGAAGGGTCCAGCTGAAAGCGATGCAGGTGTGGGGAGAGAAAAGGGGGGTGACTGAAAATAATTCCTGAGCGCAAATATAGAAATGGTTCACTCTGAGCAGCATGATTCTGTGTCCCATGGGATGCCTCGCCATGGGCTGGTGGAGCACTCTTTGGCGTGCACAGTGATGGGAGAAGCTGACCCCATGAAGGAGGGAAATCGCATTAATTTGCAATAATCAAGTGTATGAAAATTAGTAGGCGTTTATTGTACAAGTGTCGTTTGACTGAATTTCCTCTACAAGTGAACTCGACAAGCCTGAAAGACAGTATTACACAGAAGTGCTTCTGTTTGCTCCCTGCGCAGCTATTTGCAGCAGCTGCCAAAGACCTGCCAAGCTCTGGGCATGGCTAAATTTCTTCCACGTGCTGGTTTGTCAGGTCTCATACTGTGTGACGTGTCAGGATCCAGCAGCTGCCCACTGGAGAAGGGGCTTGGTGGCTTCTGTGTGCCGTCAATGGGCATTTAATGTAATGCTCGGAGAAGTGAGGTGTGTCTAGGCTGGCCCTCCTGTGACCAGTCCTTTGTATTTTTTTACCAGGTTGATGTAATGCAACTCCCACTCCCTAATTCATTGAGACGGTCACGTTTCCTAACAAAGAAACAAAAGAAAACAGTCGGTAGAGCTGAATAAAGGACAATTTACCAAATGCCTTCCAATGTTTAGCTGTTCCATCCCAGGGGTCTGGAGCAGCTTTACAACACCGAGCCCGTGGGCTCTTACAAGAGGAGAGAAAGTTCTTCATCAGAAGGTGGGGCTCTCTGCTGCCCCAGGGGCATAGCTGAGGACCCGGCCTCATTAACAACTACCTGCCTGTGACAAACGGGGAACAACTCTGCAGGTCGGAGACAGATACAGGCCAGGCTGTACCCGCAGGCTCTGTAATTTTAGGAACTGAATTTATCACCAGATTTTTTTAATGCGACCTGTATAAGGAAGAAGCAAGTCTGAGATCTTGGAACGGGTTGCCCAGGGAGGTGGTAAGGTCACCATCCTGGGGTGTTCAAGGAAAGGTTGGATGTGGTGCTGGGAACATGGTTTAGTGGTGACATTGATGGTAGAGGGGTGGTTGGACCAGATGGTCTTGGAGGGATATTCCAACCTTTATGATTCTAGGATTCTGTGATTCTATGATTCTATGATTCTATGATCTTGCTGCACTGCTGCCAGGAGGTCCCAAGTTACTTCTGAGCTTCTGTGAAAGCCTCAGCGGCCAGGACTTGGTTTAAGCAGTTACGTGAAGGAAGTCGTTGGCTCTTTCCTACCTGTGCCTGGCCCAAACTCACAAAGGAGGATGAAGAGGTGGGTGATTGTGACTTTTTATTATCTCTCCCTTTTTGTACTCCTTGTGGATTAGCCTGGGTTAGACAAAGTGGCACGAGGGACCGAGCCTCTCCCTGCGTGCAGAAGGCATTGTTAGGAGGGGCTCCAACACTGACTAGCAGCAGACTGAAGAGGCTGAGCTTCTGCTGATACCCAATTAGCTGATTATCCCAAAGGGAATTGGAAATGAAGGTTATCTTTCAACTTGTGATGAGCTTCCAAATAAATATTCAACATGCATTTAATAAGACAGTTTTATGCATTATTTAAGTATCAGTTGATGGGTAGGAGACAAAACACTAGTGATGCTGAGGTCTGAAAGGCAAGGGCAGAAATCTGGTGACTGAGTCATTAAAGGAGATTTGTATCACTCATTTTACTGGATTATTATTTATACAGTAATCATGAGGAGAATGTTAGCAAGAGTTCATTTCTGCCTTTTGGTTGTTTTGGGGATCTTTTGTTTTTGTTTTTGAAGCATGAGATAAGGAAGGATACAAAATGAACGAGAGGATTAGGGAAAAAGGGATGTCAAGACAAGTGTGGTCCAGTCTCCAGCTGGGGCAAGATTAGCTCTCCTTAAAACACCCACTGAAGTCCGTGGCACCAGGGAGTAACTTTGTCCCTTGGTGAGGTTTTGTACCTGCTTCTGAGAGAGTGACTATTTTGTGTCAGGGGCTAAATTTCTTTCCTTGAACTAAGAGGGTTTGTTCTCCTCTTGATCTCACTTCTGGCCCATTTCAGGATGGACTTTGCTGGGGGCAAGAACCCTCTCTGAGATGTGAAGTTGCTACTGAAGGATAGTTGAGCTCCACGTGCCCAGTGGGCATTTTTAATGCTGTAGAGACTCAAGGGAAGTCTTGACTGTTACCTCGTTCAACCTCCTGCTGGGTTGATCTTCCAAGGTTCAGAGCAATAACGTGCCCAGTTCATGCAAGAGGAATCCGGAGTGTGCTGCCCCAAGGTCTGGTGCCTCTGTTAGGGAGGATCCAGTGAGCAACAAATTGAGTGTAGTCACTGGAAACCTTCATAACAGTTCTTCATTTTCTCAGGGCTAGGAAGGACGTGGATGGAGTTCAACGGAGATTTATGTCAGGTTCCCCCCTGTGGTACTGGGCCCCCACAGGCACGGTGCTGAGCTGGCAGGTCCCTGCCCTCTTGTAACCTTCCCTGGGATCTAGGCTAGAAGCTGCTTTGATCCATCCCACTGTAGTCATTCTTCTATGGGCAGAGGTATAAATGCCTCTAAAACATCCTGATCCCTGTATACCAACCAGCCTGTGCAACCCCCAAATCCCCAAATAGGGCAATTCAGAATCCAACCCCAAACCTGACAGCAGTGCCCATTTTTGACCCGTACTTTTCCCTTCCTAATATTTTCACTCCTCCAGGTTACCTGAAACCTTTGTCCCATTCCTGCCAGAAACACAGGACTGGGGCGATGCTGTTGAAACTCCTTCGGTGTGATAACCGAGAGCAGAATGAGTACTGGGATACACCACTTGGTTAATTAAATAAACCGGCGACCTCTGAGCCAGGAGTGAAAACAAGAAGGAAAGGAGGAGAGTGGGTTTTCTCCCCGCCGCACCTCTGCTCTCTGGTGCTTTGGTCCTTCAGCTGCTCAGTGGGGCTGATCTCCTCCCGGCAGCTCGGGGTAGGCTCTGTTTTCCCTAACACCCAGTGGTATTCCAAATATTATTTTTTGCATTTCTTTTACTTAAAGAAAAGGTGCTAAAATAAAAACAGCGCTAAAATAAAAACACAGGGTCTGTCCTGATTTGTGGTACTTCCTTTTTCAGCTCTCTCTGTTAACAAATTTATTAATCTAGTTGGGATTATTTGTCTTTCCTCTTATAAAATGCCTTTCCTCCAAAAGGAAAAACTGCCAATGTATTATTAAAGGAAGGTCAAATCCCAGTGCCCTTTTCCCTGTTGATTCAGTGTTTGGAAAGGAAACTTAACGGGTATTTTTTTTTTTAAAGGACGCTGTTGAGAAATAAGAACTGGAGTTCAATTTGCCTTTTGCTTTTAATTTTCCACTTTTCCTTCTCTCTTTCATTCAGTAGAACATGACCTATTTTCTGTATATATGTGGTTTCCCAGCCTGGTTTCTCTAGTACTGAGTATTTGCACTTGCTATACTTTTAAGAAAGATTGCATCTCCGTTATAATTGAAAAAAATCACTTGTTTTATTAGAAATATAAACAATCGTTAAATGTTTTCACTGATTTTTATGGAGATTTGTTTTAAGCACAGCCTTCATTTTGCATCTATTATTTTGATGCTCCCTTTAATTTAGTGCACACGGCCATGCTTCTTAATATCTTTAAAAGATCTCAAGCGTATCAAAAAGGTAGATTTTTCAAAAGAGCTCAGCACTAGATCTCTGAATAATTGATTTTTTTACTTTTGGTTGTTAAACTAAAAAATGTTTCTTTCTGATCATGCTAAGAGGAAGATTATTTAGCAATATAAATAGAATACCCTAAATGTTTAGTTTGATTCATTTTTGCTTCAACTGCATACTCTAAAACCATTTAAAACCCTCTTTAAAAATTAAATGTTGATGATTTTTTGAAACAAATGTACTTAGGAAGGAGAACTAAACATTTCAAAACATCTTCAAAATGTTGAGTAGCAACATTATTTCTTTTCCCAGATAAACCCATTTTTTATGCCTTAAAGAAGCCCTGGCCTCACTCTTACCATACAGCAGCTGCTATGGGATGGCTCCTTCCCTAGTTCCTGGAGGCTCCCTAAAAATCAGCAGAGAAAAAGGGACGCTTCTGCAAGGTGATTCAAGCCTCCTACCTTTTTCTAATAGCAATAGGGGTAGCACTCCTAAATTATGTTCTTTGATGTGTTTAAGGTCAGAGGGGACAAACCTGAACCCGTGGATGTAGTAGGTTAAGTGCCACATATATTGTAAAATGCTTCAACAGGCACCCTGCAAGTTTGGGTTGTAAAGCTGTTGTGATATACTGCAGAGGCATTACAAAATGGTGGGGTTCATAAGCGAAGGGCATTAACATCCTGAGCGATATGCAGATTAGTCTATATTAGCAACCACATTCATTTCGAAGAGGTTGATGAGCCAGCCTAGGAGATTCCTCTGCGGAGCGAGCGTTGCACCAGTGACCTTGGTGGGGGCAGGAGAGGTCATGCTGTGAAATATGTCCTACTGCTAAGGGCTCTCGGTGCACCTAAGGTGATACAGGTATATATTAAAACCAATGCTTCATTACAGTCTAAGCAGGGTTATTCCATCCTTCTTACCTCAGTGCCTTTTGTTGTTTCCCCTGGGCACCCTAAAATAGCGTTCTGTTTGGTGCAGGCAGTTTAGGAGGGGGCGAACTGATTCTTTTAGGGAATATTTAGCCCTGAGGATACTCCAAGGCACTATGGAAAGTATTTAAACCCAAGGTGTCGTATTTTTATCGCGGGATCTTTGTGTAAGTGTCTGAAAAATGCGAGCTTGCTGCTTATTTTGGGAGGAGGGCTAACAGTGTTTTTGTTATCTCTGAGCATGCTAAGCTGAGTCAGTGCAATGTAATTAATGAGGCCATCTCCCATTAGAGGACGGTGGTAGGAGCTATTGCTAATTACTTTGCAGGCATCAAAGAAACAGTGCTGAAAGAGGAGCTCTCAGTGCCCAGAAGATGGTGTAGGAAGATGCCGATTCTTTGCAGGTGGCCGGCTGGAGCATCACCTGCTCCTGGTGCTGCTGTGGAAACTGCACTTTGCTGGTGACTGAGCGAGCACAAAGTGAACACAAAGCCAGCAGCTGAAGCCACGGCCACCTGCATGGATGTGGGACCCAAAGGACTTCGGTGGCTCAAGGAGCAGATGGGTGCTCACCCCAATATAACCTCCCTCCACTGCCAGTGTTTCCTTCAGAGGGTACCTGGGCTGTGGGAGCAGCTTTTGCCATTCACAGAACCTGGGCTCAGGCCTTTGCTCCAAAGTAAAGCTGTGTTTGGTGGGCAGGTTTGTTCTTTGTGATGGAGACAGGGTGGTCAGCATTGATAACCTGATCCAGAACGTGCTGGGATGGCACTGAACGCAGATTGGGACTGGTTTCCCTCCATGGCAAACGGAGGAGAAAACTCTACCCTTCTGTAAACTTTCCCATAATTGAGCTTATGAATAGAGTGGCCTGGAAGAGACTCTTTATTATTCCCTCATCCATTTGTTCAGAGATATGGACATATTAGTGCCGGAAACATCGAAGGCCTTATCTGGCCTGACCTTTCGAAGAGCAGACTATAAAATTTTGTCCATTAACCTCACCACTGAGCCCACTAACTCACTGCTGGCTAAAACATTTCTGCCATTCTTGGTCTGAGGAGAACACGTGGTGGATAATCCACCATTTCCCTTAATCGTTTCTTTTAATGGCCAGACTGTCTCTCCGTTTAAAGCAGTAATGATCCCTGCTGCTCCTGCAATGTCGCTGATTCACGGCTTGCTGGAGTTTGTGGTGTGCATGCAGGAAGGCTGGGACGAAGTGGGGAGGTGGCTGTAGGTTAGGAGGGAGGTGACACGGAGGATTTGGGTAGAGGGGCATGGTATATGGGGAGAGTGAGGTCTAAGGTTCAGGTCTCAGGAGACTGACTGTGTTTTGATGGTAGCCATAAGTGCTGGGGTTTAGGGGGTATTTGCTCTGGGTGTTGGCAGAGCTGGATGGGATCTCAGAGGAATTGCTGGGGCCCACAGAGGACGTCTGCTTGCTGCTTCTGCTGTGCATGGCTCCAGGGCTGAATCAGCAGCTCCCTGCCGGGTTGCCTTGGTCAAACCAGATGAAAAACTCCAGTGTTCCCCCATGTCCTGTCTGTCTGCAGCACTTTTCCATCTTTGTTATCACAAGCCCTAAATTCACTCTCAAAATCACTCAGCTCCTTGTTTGTCTGCTTGCTTAGGTTCCATAATTACAGCTGCTGCTGAGAGAGCAAAGCCTGCTCCTGGAGACCACCAGCACAGCCCACGGGGAGCACCGAGCCCCCTCTGTGTCGGGATATGCTTGCCATGGGGAAGTGGTGTGAGTCGAGGGGCAGCTCTGCCTTTCTCCGGACTGAACAAATAGAGCACGGCACAGCCTGCTCCCCACTTCTGTAGCGCTGCCTTCACAAGCAAGCAGCAGCCTGCTGGGTCCAGCAAGGTGAGCAATATTTTACTGGGGAAAAACTGGGGGCGAGTGTTGTGACAGGCAGCCTGGCAGCTGGAGTTTGCCTCCTGAGCGGCTTTGGATTGACCATCTCTGTTTGCAGAAAGCATTTTTTCAGGGCTTGTCATTTTTAAGGGCATTGATTTTAACATATTTTCTTTGGACAGAGGCTCAACAGTGGAGGAATTGGCTCCAGAAAGGAACAGCATCGGCTGGAATGCCTTGACTGGAAACTCTGCTTGTCAACGGTACCTGGAGCGGGGTTTGTTGATAAAATCCCTTCCTTGGATCCCTCCCCTGCATGTACCTAATGAATGAGCCATTTGTTTGCAGAGTTGTCGCCTTCCCTATGGACAGGTGCCATTTTCAGTGAAACCATCTCAAACAGCACGTGCAACTCACGGAAGTTACACAGCACCAGGGCAGAGAACAGACTTGCAGGCTGATGAATCCCTAGCATCAGGAAATGTTTGCAACTGCTCGTGAAAACCTCTGAGGAGCTCTGGAGCCTGTGCTTCCCTTCCTCCTGACACGTGCAGTTTGTGCAGGTAGGTGTTGGCAGCTGGCGTGGTTCCACTGGGGGATGCTGGCTGGCAAAGGACAAAGCTCATGGCCTTACAAATGGCATGTGATGGCTTTTGTTTTCTTCTTGAATACATGCTGAAGGATACCTCAACTGTAATGGGGTGAGCCAAGGTCTGGAGCTACAGGGGCAGGCAGGCTTCAGGAGCTCGGCCTGTTTGGCTCACTGAAGAGAAAGTCCAGAAGCAATGTGATCGTGGTAGGCAATTCCCTGCACCAGGAGAGAATTTCAGATGTGTTACAGGATGGAAGTTGAACTCAGGTTGGAAAGAAGACAACTGGGGAATAACATGGTAATTACCCAGTGGAGGGGCTGACCAAGGCAAGGGGGAAGCTCGTTCTGGCTTGGATGCCTCACCTTGAACCTGGATATCCTCCTGGAAGGGACGCTCTAGTTCAGCCATGTGTGAGCTGGATAACGTTAGCACTGGTGGGAAAAAGAAACTGAAAAAAATATATATGGTGTCCTGGATCTTTTCACATACTGGGCAGCTTTCCCTTGTGTTACTGAGTTCGCTGCACAAATAGTTATTTCACCACTGAAAGGCAGTGGCTGCTCTGGGCTCCACACCTTTATAAAGGTGCTTTAATTGTGATGCAGAGGACTGGATCTTCAGACTTCAATGGGGAACGCTGCTTACCCATCACAAGGGCAATTCAGAATGCTTCGGTTTGATGCTATAAGTAGACGCATTCAGCCTTCCCCAACAAGTTACAGAATAGCTGTGGGAAGTACAGATATCTGAGGTAGTTGGCCAACTCGGAAATCGTTAAAGAAAGTGTGTTCATGCTAAACAGAAAACTTGCTGCTTTTTTTATCCTGGATAAAAATATAATACTGGGGCAACTGAAATCTTTCACTTTTCCTAAAAACAATTCAGGGGTTATTTCTGACATACATTCAACCATTTTTCTTTACAATATCAGTTTTTAGACAAGGAAACAAAAATGTCACTTTGAAACAAAACAGCGGAAAGTCTGGTTCTGAAAACTGGCAAAGCGGTCTGGCTGTCAGCTCGGTGCCAGGGATCACCTTCTCTCTCCCCCAGCTGTCTGTACAGTGACGGCTGCTTACGGCTGTTGATAAAGATGTCAGCACATCCAAGGCAGCGCTGCTCCCCAGGGGATGGATGCGGTGGTTTATGCTGCACACATTGCAAGGCTGTAGCAGAACTCGGGGAGCACAGGCAGCATTGTGTGGCTGTGCAGGTACCATCAGTGCACCCCGCGGTTGTATCTGTACCTTCTTGGTGTCAGCAAGTGTTGGTTTGGTCAGGCTGGACTGCCTACAAGCCCGTGTTGCAGCTGTACGAGGACACAGAACTGCACACAATGTCCATTTCTATCCAGCCTGTGTAGTGTTCTCCTCCTGAGTGGCTTAGCTATGATAAGGCAAGGTGGAATGGGACATAAATCACAGTCAAATAGCTATGGTATGATGCTGGTTTTCCTCTTTCTCTTTGCGATATTCCTCTCAGTTCATCAGTTTTATAGCAGGGGCTTGGAACAGCTCTGTGCCTGATTCTTGTTAAAAGTTGCAGATATCTGTTAATGCAGGGCAGCTGCTGTGGCTGTCGTAGCATTTCTGGGCTGCAGGTCAGTGTAAAGGGATTTGGATAGCGCAGTTCCATCTGAAGGGCTGTCTTGTTAATTCGGGTGTGTTGGATGACTCCTGGAAGCAGTTTTCCTGAGCTATCATAAGGGTTTGTAATAAATCTTAATGAGACGCCCCTGCTATGATAAATCATTTGTTTCTCTAGTAGGAGCTTGGATTATGGCCTCCGGGGAAAATGGGAGGAACCTCAAACCCTGCTTCAGGACGGTGTCAGCAGTTACCTGGCTGTTTACCATCCAGCCAGAAAACATTAGAGCAGTCACCCAAAAGCCTCAGAGCATTGTCTGCTGTTTGTAAAAGTCAATGCTTGCCTCCCAAGGCAAACAACTGCTCTCGAATTAGATGCTTTGTTTCCACCCAACCCCATGAGGTAGAGAGATACTTCTCTCTCCCTACCTCTTGTGTTTACACTAAACCAAGAGAAAAGAGGACCGAGCCAGAAGTAAATCCCACCAGTGAAACCACTTTATTGCTTTCATTTTGTTGGTGTCTAAATGCTCTACTTGAGCACTGGTGCCACTGGGGCGAGATTTGGAAAACACGTGGAAGGCAGTGGCTGTCCTCTTGGGGAGCTCAAAGGCTGCACTAAAGACCACAGCAAACTGAAGGCCAGAGGGGACTGGCTTCCCAAAGGTGCATGATAGATTAGGCCAGCCGTGAACCTTCACTACCGCCCCTTTCCCCTTCTGTTACCATGTTACATATTCTTTTGGGTATTTTCTTACATGTTTTTTGCTCTCAGCAGTAAGCAGATACTTGAAAACATCCTAACCTGGGGAGATTTCTAGGCGAGGAAGTACTGGAAGCAGGAGACAATGGGCGTGTTCCAAGGGCACAGAGACATCCATAGGAGCTGTGACAGGTGTGAATTAATATCTTTGCTAATTTGCCTTTCTCTCAACAGAGATGGCAAAATTCACTGTGTCAGTCACAGGTATGGTGGAAGACATCCTATCAGAAACGTCTCTACGTCACCTGGTTGGCCAAGACACCTACAGGTTAGTTTTTAATTCAGTAATGCAATGACCTCTTGATTAAAGCCTTTATATAGTTTGTAGCTAAAAAAGAGTCCTAAAGGATCAGATCTCAAATCTGCTGAAATGTACCTAAATCTTCAAATGTTTGCAGGAAGCTCTGGATCAAGTCTTGAATAACTGTTAATTAGGAATTCTCTAAAGTGATGGTGTAAATGCTGTGCTGGTAAAACGCAGGTTGGACAAAGGTGATAGGGTGGTAAATCCCAAGGAGAAGTTAGGTTACAGTGATCTGCATTGCTTAGTGAAATGGATTCAAGCCAGGAAAATTGTCTTAATCCAGGCAATTACTTTTGTGTAATCCTGTAATTGGGTTAAACTTGTAGCCGGGAACACTCTGCAAAAGGTTCATCCTGTTCAACTTGGGGACTTAACTGTGGTATGTAAGGTGGAGTGTCATCGCCCTCAGCAGTGGGCAGAAATAGGGATGGCCTGAGGGTGACCCAGATCTTGGTGGTCTTGCTGCCTTGGTGAGTGCTTTTTCTCTCTCTGGATGAAGAGAGCTGAGGGAAGTGCCTGCTGTTTGGTGGGGACAATCTGGATCTACAGCTTGGAGGGTTGGAAGCTGGAAAGAACCTGGGAAATACTGCTGAAATTGCTGTTGGTAGGAATTCCCAGTGAATGGTGTCTGCTGTGACTACAAGGAACAGGGTTCCCTTGGAGACTGGTTAGGGGAGTTATTTTAAGATGAAGTCTGATAGGTTTGTGGAAGGAACTGCATGACAAATCAGCAATTCCTAGGACCTGAAAAAGCTTTGATATGAGTCCTTGCATAGCTAATCTGTTGATATCCCCAACGGGGATAAAAGAGATCAGATCACTCTTTATTTATACCGTATTTATACAAATTCAGTGTTCCGGGGCTGCTTCCATTCACCTTTGAGATCAGGAAGGAAGTTTTTTCTTCCTTGATGCATAATTTGGTTTCTGATGGCTTGGGGGAGCTCTTTCAGGTCTCAGCAGCCTTGGAGCTTGCAGCACGGGAGGAGGTAAGCAACTCCCTTCTGGTGGCATCCCATGCTCTCCAGTGCCTGATCGTTGCACTCAGTCTCCAGACCTGATGTCAAGAGGCAATTTTCCCTCCAGGTTCATTGGGTAAGGACCGCAGGAGGTTGTTGGGTGGTGGTAGTTACAGCATATCTTTTTTTTTGTTTGGTCGTATTTGTTTTGCCCTTCTGCACAACAAGATCTGCTTGCCATGTTCCCCTGGGAGTTATATTTAACAAATTCCCTGCTAATGTCCTCCTCGTGTTTCCTCAGTCTGAGGAGGAGCCTCAGGGGAGAGAACCTCTGCCATGCCATGTCTGCCAGACTTTGCGAAAGATAGGAAAAGAGATTGGGGGGGTGATGGTAAATAAGACCTATTTTGAGTGGGAAATGGAGTGCAGGCCTGGGGAGAGACAGACACAACTCATACTGCTGGAATGCAATTGCTGGTGGACCGGTTAAATTCAAAAGGCAATGGCCCAGGCCCAGATGTTTAAGAACTTCAGCATGGCTTGAAATTGGCATAACAATAAAAGGGCTCTTGTTTGGAAATAGTTTCTTTGAGGTTAAAAAAAATAAAGAAAAGAAAAAAAAGCTCTTTAAAGAGAGCTGCTCCATCTGGCATTGAGATCCTCGTGTCCTGGGCATGGAGATCCAGCGACATGGCTGTGGAGTGCCACCATCACTCACGAGTGCCAGGTCTCCTGCACTGAGGGGGATGCAGCTCCTCCATGAATGGGGGCAGTGTAGGTGTGCTACTGTGGCCGTAGAGCAGCTTGTGAGGTGCTGCAGGAGAGGAAAGGGGAGCAGTGGTCCCCGCAGAGGGACAGAGAAAAGCTCTGGCACCCCTAACTCCAGGCATCCACCTGATGGACACGGAGAACCCGTGGCCATCCCGTCTGTATCCCTTACTCATTGTCAGGTCCAAACCACACCCTGGGAATGGTCCCGCAGGTGCCAGTGGAACATCTTTGGTGATACTGTAGTAGGGCTCTGGGACCAGGCTCGTGAATTTGCTTGCAGATGAATGAAACTGCAAGAGAAGAGGCAGAGCAGGTCAGACCCACCTGCTGCCGCTTGCCACCGATCTGCAGATCGGCAAATCCACTTCAACAGTCAGCAAACTGCATTTTGAAACCGCAGCCTCACCACGGTGAGTGGCAATATTCCCCGGTCTTCTGGGGACAGCACTTTGCCCCCGCGCTTTCTAATGTGCAGCTGGATCCTTCCCAGTGATCCCATTAAAGCTCTTCAGGGAACTGCAGGGAAATTATGTTAAGAAGATAATTATAGGGTAGCCTGGGTAAAAAGGCAGGTCAAGAACGATTTGAAGAGTTGGGGAATGAGTTCAGTTAGCTGCAGAAGTGTCGTGAGGTGTCCATTCCCTCCAAGACGTTTTCTCACTGCCTCAGATGAAACCTTGGTTGCAGCTTTGTAAATGCTCTTCTGGTTTGCAGCATTTCCCTGGCACAGAAAACTCTCCTTGCTGTATGGATACCAGGTACTGCCAGAGCTGGAGTTAGCCGAGAACAGTTGGATTATAGGATTTAGAGACAGATGGGACCTTTTTCATTATATTTTTTTATGATTAGCTCACAACATAACATGTGAGGCAGTCACGTATTTCATATTCACACAACAAATTATGCATCTAGTATGAAATAGCTCTCGTTTCCTTCTCTGAAATAGAGTACGAATTTCCATCTGGAATATATAATGTGGTTTCCATATGTAGAAACAGAGACTTGTAACAAGTATCAAAGCAGCAAGAACATTTTGGATGCTAATATGCTGTGGAAGTGTCTGTCCAGTGAATGTACGAGAGCTGTCGGTTGATTCATGAGTTCTAAGACAGATGTAACTCAGGAGTGGGGTTTAAGCCCAGTAGGATCTCTGAACGCAGTCCTCTGGTTAAGGATACTGAATTTAGGGCATCTGTGCTGGAGGGGGCTGCTGTGCTCTCGGTTCTGCCTGAAGGCCTATCTACCCTGACCACGTGAAGAAGAGGTCAAAGCAGCTTTCAGGTCAGGAAAATTCTTGTTCCACAGTTTTCAGAGCTCAGCATAGGTGGGTGCTGGGTGCCTGCTTGCACATAGGTGCTAAGTGTGTCCTGGAGGGTGGGCTCGGGTTCTTGCTCTCACCTTAACCTCCCGATGTACCCTTCCCATTCTAGGGTCAGTCCACCAGGACCGTCTGGACCAAGCTGCTACGAAGTGCTGGGATCGGCCTGTTTTGGGCAAGACTCGTCTTGGGTTGACAACCATGAGATTTGGTGTTCTCTGTGTGACTGGAGCTTGCTGTGTGAAGGCTACTGAGGATTTCTGCTTTTGCTGCCTCCCCCGTGTCAGACAGGCAGTCTGGCCCCATGACAAGCCGAAGGTGCCCTGCTACCAATTCAACGTCTCAGTTTCTGGTTAGTTTCCATTACACATAGAACATGTCAGAGTTTTCGCTTTTTTTTTTTTTTTTCTTTAACTTATCATATCCTCAAAGCCTGTTTCTGAAAGGTGAATGGATTATTTATTGCACAGTGCAGGTTGGTGAATATCGATGGAAGTGGCATCTGGTCTCCAAATGGAGACCTTCTCCCCCTCCAGGTCCTTAAGAGAACATGACAGTAATTGAGCAATAATGAAATGTTTCGGGAGGAGTGTCGGAAAGTTCAGAGTGGTATGGGGGAGTTATAAATCTGGGCTGCATTTGGCTTGAGGAAGAAACCCCGTTATAAACTTATTAGCTGCTGACACCGTGCTTCTCTCACCTTGCACAAGATGTAAAGCTCGCCTCAACACCGTCACACCACCTTTCACTTGCACCTGACTCAAGGTGCTGCTGGCTCAGGCACCACTCTTCGCTTCCCAGGAGATCAGTAGCAGAGATCAGGCACACACTGATCTGATGCCTTCGAAATGCTCCAGCCAGACCCGTCTGTGGTGCTCCTACAGACCTTAGCCTGCTTCTCCACCACTCCTGCAGTTATCCACTCAGAATGGTTGCAGATGGTACCCAGCATCGCTGGGTCTGCCCAGGAGGTCTTCTGAGTGCTCGGCACCAGGAGAAACCTTCTTGCCATGGAGGTAGAGCTTGGGTTGCTGATTCCTGCAGTAACAGTGTGGGCCAAATAAGGGCTCTTTAAAGGTTGTGTCCATACATCTCCCTTCTGCAGTCATTTGTCCCAGCAAAATACTGAAGCCTTAGCTTCAGTTTTGTTCAGACTAGCTTTTGGGTACTTAAGTGGAGGCTTTTTTAAGCTTTGTAGTCTTCCATTAGTTATTCATGTTGTTTCTAATTTGTGTGTCTCAGACAAGATTGTTCTTTTCCTTTCCTCTCCAGAAAAATTGTTCCAAGTTCCAAGCTGGGATTCTTTTTAGCACTCAAAAGCTATTTCTGATGTGTCACATTCAGCTCTTAGCTTGGACTAAGTTGTCCCCAGCTTTCAATCTAAAATGTGCTGGGAAGTAGGCACTTCCAGGGGGTAACTCATGTCACCGATTTCAGATACCTCTCAGGGTAGGATGAGGGTGGTTGACAGAGATGTCTGGGTGATGGGTTCGTGTTAGACACCACTCTGAGACCGCAAGGATGGACTTCACCTGAACAGATACAATGATTTGCAGCACAGACGTGTAGCTGAGCAGACATCAATCTCCCTATCACCCATACAGAGAAATAGGTACTTGTAAGGTACAATTTTTGAGGTTTCTTTAGCTCAGATGGAGAAGAGCATGCAAATATGTATTGACTGCTGTTGCTTAATAATGATTTTTTCTGACATTGTCTTGTGACATTGTCATTGGCTGAGGTTTGTGTCCTGATTAATTTTTGATGTCTATTGTGCAGTCATTTCTTGATCCAGGTGATGTGCTAGGAGCTAGTGGATGACCCTTATCAGAATATTTTTAAGGAGTATATAAAATGGCTGGTAAAAGCCTATGTACCTGACAGCTTTGCAATCAATCAAAGCTGTGATCCTATCAAGGAATGGAATCAGGTCTCCTTGACATTAGAAGGAAATTAATATGGTGCATGGCTTCCTAACGGGTACTTATCTCGGCTGAATGCAGGATCGCTAACTCAGAGACGTGTACGGAAGGGAGCTAAAAATATTGAACTGACTGAAGAATATTTTTCACATCCGGCTTTGTGAATCTTGTGAACTCTTGTTCCTACAGTCAGTGGTTACAAAATACTGCTAAGTGTCTTTTGGGGAGAGTTGTGAAAGGACTGCACATTTAATTAATAATGGTTGCATATGTCTAAATAAATTCCTGCAAAAAGTGACATTTTTAAGGAGATCTTATGATAAAACTGCTCTGGAGGCAAAGTTAGACTTTCCCAGTTTCACATTTAATTAACTTAGTCTGACTTTTATAGGGCTTTGTGTTATGCATTTCGTTCTTCAGTAAACAAATGGCAGAAAATTAAAGCAGAGCAACTGCCAATGAACAGTAAATTTAATTGAAAAATAATGAGTTGCCATGGGGTGCCGTAGGGTTCTGCAAAGATAACGTTATTTATCTTGGAAAACTTCCACTTGCATTTGTCAAAATGTGATATATAAAAGGAACAAAAGGAAGAAATATGACATTAGATAGGAAAGGGCTAAAGCCTGATTCCTCATGGTGAATTCGGGACTGGAGTTAGGTGGAGTGAAAAACTGATTTCCTGCGCTCCGCAGCAGCTCAGTGCAATTTCCATCTGATGCATCGCTAAGTGAAATGTTGTGTCAGGAGGAGAAGTCAAGTGGCTGGAATTCGTAAGGTCCAGATGAGCAGGAAGGAAGATGAGCATCAGTGTCACAGGAGGGGAGAAGCGTGTGACGTGATCTCGGTTCTTTCATGGTGAAACAAAGGCGAGCTCCGAATGCTCTCTGGCTTCACATAGATTTCAAGGGAAATTATTGTCTGGAAAACAGAAGTGAGCCCTTGAACAAAGGTGCTGGATTAAGACAGACACAAGACGTCTTCTTTTTGGGTTAAAGTGATAGATTTGCATCACTAGGTTTGGTCCTCTTTGAGAAGTATTTGAAATTCATTCTGATTGAATAACTTCCTGGGCAGTGAGTAGCAAGAGCAAATTTGCAGACATTGACTGACAGTGAACCGTTAACCCAGCTGACAGAGTAAGCAGAGTTACTCTGAATTTGCAGCCGTGTAATACATCCACAGCCCTGGGTACCTCCCCGTGGGTGAAGGCGATGTCCTGGGCATGCCAAGCCCTTCCTGCTAGGCTGTGCTTCGCAGACGAGACCCCTTTCGCCCGACGCATGCCTCCTTGATTGCCAGCATATGAAATGCGACGTGTAGCAGTTCGTTTTTGCAACATCTGTTTTCCAAGCTCATCATTTCCCAGCAGTTCCCACTATGCAGCAAAACCCACCTTATTTACAGCCTCCACATTTGGAGGGCTCAGCAGAGCCCAGATTTGGCTGACATTTGCAAGGTTCCTGCTTTTCATTTTGACCCATTCTTGCTTTATTTTTAGCTGTTTTAAAATGACACATGTTTCCGTCTTTTAGGTAATGAGATGCTTTCCACTTAATTCAATCACTAGTTAATTTGATCCTCTATTTAATTTGTTCCAAACGTCTGGAAGCAAAATTCTGTACCGTAAGTATATGTATGTATTACATATATAGCTTCCACCCTGTGCTCTGATCATTCTGCTTGCTCTAAACAAGGCTTATAATTCAATCTTGGGCTATTGAAACCTGCCATTTAATTAATAAGAAAAGCCAAAATCAAAGGAAGACAGAAGGCAAAGAAAAGGTTTAAGGAGTCCTGGCAATAAAAGAGGACTATGACTGAAAGTTGCATCGTGGGGTACCTGCTGTTGGCTAAGAGCTCAGCTATGGGCTATCAGATCTGTGAGCGTGGGGCTGAGGGTGGGGGAGAAGTGATGGAGAGCGAAACCTTTCAGGGAAATGTTAGGAATAAATGTGAGTGGCCCCTTGCATGGAACAAGGTTCAGGGCTCGTTGTGATAAAACGGAACATAAAACCAAAAATGTTGCGTAGCAGAGTTTCATCAGTCACCCGGGGCCTTTGGAGCCTGCAAATCAGATGGCAAGGGAAGAACGCCGCCGCAGCCCGTGCCAAATCCGTGTCGTCTCCAGAGCTGTCAGGAGCACCCGCCAGCACTCCATAAAGCTTTCACTCCCATCTCCAACAGATCCCCCCCAAACCCTCACCGACCTGAGTTAATCAAACACTCACCTCGGTGCTCAGCCTCTCTGCTGACCTTTCTGGCTGCAGTATCAGCAGATCAGCCCGCGGGAGCGTCGCATCCAGCTGGTGGTTGGGGAGTGGATTGTGTAATGCTTCCTGGGACCTTGCTCTTGTGATCTTCTTATGGGGTTTGCAAAGGCAGCAGAGAGCAGGTGTGCTGGGAACCTGGGGCTTTGCAGCCTTTGGGCCATGTGGATGGTTGGCCTGGGGGATTTTTGTGTCCTGGTCCAAGCAGCATAGCTGTGGGCCAGCAGAAGTCCTTGTCAATCTCTCTGTGCAGCTCAATTATTTCCATGGTGCTTTGGTTTTCAGAGGCACTGAGTTTGTGCCTGGGTGTGAGCTTGGCTTGGGTGTCCCCTGTCTGAGCAGTGGCCGGTGTCTGGGTGCCCCTGCAAAGAGCCAGCTCCCAGATTGCTGGAGGACATGGGATGAAGCCCGTGAGACACACCGAGCCTTGGCAGGGAACCCAGCTTTCGCTCATTTTCCATTGAGAGGTGAAGGCAAATAAAAGCCGAGTCAGCAGGCAGCCCCACAAATACCAGGGGGATCGAATTAGGTGGAAAGCATCTCATTTCCTCATTTCCACCGCACGCCTGCCCCTCTCCTGCTTTCTGCTGTAAAAGTGTGCTCTTCACCGAGGAGGCACAGCGGTGCTGTGGGGTCTGCGAGGGGGTTTCTGGCATGGAGAAGCCCCCGGGCTGGCTGCGGCAGGGCTCCTTGTGCAGGTGCTGCTGGTGCTAGCCGAGGAGATTTGGAGCACGAAGCTCTGGGTGGCTTCCCCATGCCCACAGCCTGGCCCCGTGTGGTGCCCTGGGTGCTGTGCTACAGCACAGAAAGAAGCAGTGCACACAGAGAGGAGAATTTCAGCGATGGTGGCAATGCCAGGAGAAGGTAGAAAGGGACATTGCGTGTGGTTGAGAGGTGTCCAACAGCCGGCCAAGATGCGGGGAGGCAGCGAGGCTGCGGATCGGCGCAGCGAGCAGTGACCAAGCCTTGGCTGGGCTTCAGTTCCCCCACGAGATGGAGACAGCGCTGCTGGTTTCAGTTACTTCCCAAATGTGGCGCAGGAACGATTTTTCCTTAATAAATTGCAAGGAGTAATGAAATAAGACAGAGCTCTCGAGAGGGCGTGAGGATTTTTATGGGAGCTGCGGGGTGAATATTAATGAGCAGCTCGTGTCATTAGT